ACAGGTCTGATAGATATGAGGCACTTAAATGTTGAATGAATGGTGGAAGTTAAAAAATCAACGTCTCTGTAATACTTGTAATTTAAAACCCACTAAGAATCAGGACTGTTTCAAACTTTTCATGAATTATGTTTGATTAAAAGGCTTTTATAAGGGGCCATCCCGGTGGCGCGCTGCGCTAGTGCACCGCTTGGGAAGCGCGGCAGCTCTCCCGCCGAGGGTTCGGATCCCACATACAGACCGGTTCCTGCTCACTGGCTGAGCGAGGCGCAGGGGCAACGCCGAGGCTTGCGATCCCGTTGCCGGTCCCCGGTCCAGTGCGGGGGCGACACTGAGGGTTGCGATCCTTTGCCGGACACGGAAAAAGACAAAAAAAAAAAAAGGCTTTTATAAGATCTTATTTGCTTCCTTTCTGTGAGGCTCTTATTAGCTTATAAAAATCCCAATTCCTACTTCCAGTATATATTTTTTACAAGTCTTTAGATTTAGCGGTTGTCCCTTGGAAGAAAGGGAATGATCATCATTTCAGGTTATCTCATTTGTAGAAACTTGTGAACATAAGAGGCTATATTGGTATTTTCCTCTTTCATAGGAAAGTAACCTTTATTCAAAAGTTGAATTGTCAGTGTTTTGCTTTTGTAGAAATCCACAAATAGTTTTCAACAACATTTTTATCTGTGGGCATGAAGATACCAAAAACATGTTTAACATTGAAGCAAGTCGTATTTTAAAAGTGCTAGGAAAAGGTAGAAGCCCTCCGCTGGTCTTTGCTTGTCCTCAGAGAACCCTGTAGTTGTTTTAGATAATTGCCCATTTTAAGTGTATATTTTTCGGTGTAATTTTATAATGTGCAGATGATGAGGTTTTTAAACTGCTGCATCTCATCGTTACATGAAACAACTGTTTGTGCCTTTCAAATGAAGGTTTTAGGGACTGATTTTTTTTTTTTCCCGCAGTGATAGGCTTGTTCCATTGATCTAGAACGATATTTAAGAGTTTAGATAAAGCATCTTGAATCTGTTCATCTTGATTCAAAGAACATATAACCTAGAAAATCAATCTTGGCTTCAAAAAACAATTTTTTCCCAGGAAAAATGAAAAAAGATTTTGTGCCGTTTACTAGATTAAACTGTGACTTGATAAATTTAAGCAGATTAGCTTAAATCCATACTATTGAGAATCAAGCTACTTCTCCTTAATGGATCTCCCTCCAGATGTCTTTGGCTATAGAAAGTTTCCAGATTATAATATCAAAAGTCTTTCTCTCTCTTCCTCTCTTGCTTTTATTTCTTAATTCCACCTTCATATTCATTTATTATTAAAGTTGCTTTTTACTTTAATGTCATCTATTTCAGTAATTAGAACCAAGTGTGTGCTTTTGAATTCTCATGTCTCAAGCAGGCTTTTATTCTTTAGGAAGGTAAAAGCAATAAGGATTTGAAGCAAAATGAAAGTAAAGGGTGTGGAGAGTCGAGATAATGAGCTAAAAAATGCAAGAATTTGGTTTTAGAGATGAAATCAACATAGCTTTTCCTATAAATATACTTAAAAATATATTTAAGATATATTTAAATTTAATATTAAATAAGTTATTTAGTTTTATTTCATAGTGTTAAATTTTAGGGTTAGGGTGAATATCTATGATTGCTTTCTAACATATGTTAAATTGTGCAAATGCTTGATCCTGTGTTCTTTACCTATATTCTGTTGTCATCTTAATTAGAAAAAAGGGACTATGTAGGCTGTCTTGATTTTTTTTTTTAATAATTAAGATTATAGGCACACATTTTGTCCTTTTTTTACAGTTGATATTTACTGATATTGTGGTATCTAATGCTGTATGAACGAGCAATGCTGATATTTGTCTGTAGATGGCAACCTGAGTCTAATTTTGTTATTTTCCCCCTTCCCCCCGCTTGGTTTTTTGATGTTTCTCTCTGTAATAGTAAAGCTTAATAATTCAAGCAGAGCAGTGACATATTTCTTCAGGGAAACAAATCCCATTTTCTTTTGGTAGCCAAGATGCAAAGTGAGATTGGTTGGTGATTGATGAAGTTGGGTGTGAAATGCATTTTTAGTGCTGTATTTGAATATCAGCTTAACTGGCCAGTGCATGTTTTTGTTACATTCCACTTAAGTTGTGGTGCCTTGAGATATTTTAGAGGCTGGTAACTAGCTGTACTCTCCTTTATGAGCAAAATAGTAATGATGATTGTTTTGAATAGCATTTTGGATGATTGGTTATATTCATTGGTATTATTAATATTTGGTACATGAAAAAATTTAGTGTTTTTACAACCCT